TTTTGTAGCCAAATTGGAAAATTATATTAGGATGATAAAATATGGTTTTATTTATTCAACAGATCAATTAGAATATTTATTAGTGATATATTATAATGGAAACACAATTTGTAATAATTATAAATTAATGGATCCTTATAATCTTTGTGATTCCATGGATATTACAGGGTATTTTCCAAATGAAAAATATGTTTTATTTGGACCAAATTTACCACATGGTAAAATAGTCATAGCTAAAGGCAATAAATTATACATTAAAGAAATACTCAACAAAAAAAAATTAGATGATATTCAACAAAAAATACCTTTAAAGAACAATCATCATTTACATGTAATGCAAACATTGCTATCTTCAGATTATAAAAAACAAGCAGAATTTACCATAGAAACTGGAAAATCAATTAAATGGTCAATAGAATATGACAATGGATTTCGCAATATTAATATAAAAGCCCAAAAAATTAATGATGGAATGGAAGAATATTTATCAGCAATCGATGAATATGGTCTTAGAAGTGATAATAAATTCAAATCTTGTAAATTATTAGATAATGATGATTTAATTTTATTAACACAGTGGAATGTATACATTTTATCAGTTAGCAGCAAAAATTTTAAAATATTTACAAAGTTCTTTAAAAGTGCATATAGCATTGAGAATATTAAATCAGCTATTGAGAATAATACAATTGAAGATTATTTATTTAATATCCAAGATATATTTCATTATATTAATGATTCATATATTGATAAGCATCAAATTTCTAGACAACCTTATAAAGAAATGTTAGATAATATGCTCAATGAGTTTTATTATTTCAACAAATTTGGAAAGGAAATATTAAAGGGTGCATTAGATAGTAATAATAGTATTTTAGTGGAAAAAGTATTTGATTCTTGTCTTGGTCATTTTATAAAAGATACTGATTTAAATATTAGTTTATTAAAAATAATTATATTAGAATTACCAAGACTAGAAAAAAATCATTATACTTTAATATCAAAATTCTTTAGTCAGACTTCAGTGATATTATTTCCATTTGAGACAGATTCTCAGGATCAGAAAACTTTTTATAATGCTGAAAATTTTGAAAAATCAGTTTATAAACGCTTTTGGTTTTTTTATTATAAATATTTCATAGTATTTTTTTATATGATTATGATTTTAACCTTTAATTTTATGATTTTAATAATTATTATATATTATGAATTAAATAATGAATTTTCTAAACCTTCTAAACCTTGTGCCCAATTGGCAATTCCATACCCTGGATTGGTTACTTACAACAATGAATATTCATTTGAGAAAGAATTGTTTTATAAGCCAGAAAATAGTAAATTTATTGAGTTAGATACTTTAGAATTATATAAACATTGGAATGGAAAAGTAATCTTGGATTTCAAGTGGAATAAGTTTGGATTCAATTATTACTTGGGGATTTGGGTTTTTTATATTGCATTTTTATTATGCTTTGCAATTGCAACCTCTACTTCACTAGATCAATTGTCTGATGAAACTAGAAGGTCATTGTTAATTACTACAATCATCCTTGGATTGTTTCATCTTAATTTTGAAGTGAGGCAATTTATTTGGAGTCCATTGAAATATGTCACTGACTTTTGGAATTATTTTGGTATGATATCATTATTAATTATTATAATTATTATTAACTAATTAATTAAATTTGATGATTATTATTTATTTAATAGACATTGGGGCATATTCTTTACCAATTATTACTTCAATTCTATGGTTGTATTACAATATTTCTCCAGCTATGGAGTTAGTTTCATTTTCCAATTTGTTATTAGATCTGAAATTTATGTTGTTTTTGAGAGCATTTGCATACTTTGGAAGATATTTTGCAATCATTTTGGGAGTTGCTAGAAATGTTTTCTCATTTTTAATATTACTATTTATAATCATTTTAAGCTTTTCACATGCATTTTACATTTTATTGAAACCAAGTCAATATTATACATTTGATAAACCTGATTTCAGAGATGATCCCAATAATCCTTGGAATCTTGCTTCTAAATATTTTACATATTTTACAAGTAACAACTCGCATGACCAGAATTCATTTATTGTACAGCAGCCTGATGGGAATACCAACATGTTTGCATATTTTCATTCCTCAACACTGGCAATGTATAATTTCCTTGCAGGTAAAATTTTATATATATTAAATAACATTTTCAATATGTTTACTAAAATATTGATTTTTTTTAATAGGTGATAGTGGAGCATTTGGATCTTGGCAGTTACAAGATGAACCATATCTGGCAATATTATTTGTTGCATTTTCATTTGTTGTTGTGATATATTTAATGAATTTATTCATTGGTCTTCTTAGCAATCAAATTGAAAAATATAACATAGATGAAGCATTTTTGGCTCAAAAGGCAAAAATCATAAAAGAGATTGAATTATTTTATTTACTTCCTAATCAACGTCGTTGGAGAGAATGGTTTCCTGATTTATTGTAATTATGCTTGTTTTTTTGTTTTGTTTTTTGATAAATAATCATAAATAATTTAATTTGATAATTTGATATAGATCTTATGATGCACCAATTGAAGATATTCGAAGGAAAATTAGAGAAGTTGATAATAGTCAAGAAGATCCAGAATTTCTTCCATTTATCTCTAAGGAACTTAGAAAATTGGCAGATGTAGAAAAAAACCAAACAGATCATGAGAATCTTAAAAATGAAATTAAAATGAATCACGAAAATCTTAAAAATGAAATTGAAAACAAATTAAATCATAATAATGAGCAGATGTCAATTCTGTCAACTCAAATGCAAACTTTATTGGCTGAGATTAAAAATTTAAAAAAATAAATATTTTCTATTTATCATAATAAAAATTATAGGTTTTGATTGGCTATAGCCATGTTTTTAAATTACAATTAATTTCGCGTGACATTGTAAATCCCACTTAATAATGTTATTATTATCATTATTATTATGATGCACAAGTCTTGAGACTCCTGTTGCTTAGGGTTTCTATTCGAATAAGGTTTATTCGAATTATTCACTTTATTCGTTATGAATTTTCTTATTCGAATTACATTGAAAGTTTATTCGAATAATTTTTAATTCGAATAAAACGAATTATTCAAATAAGAAAATTGATTCGAATAAGGAAATTAATTCGAATAAAAAAATTAATTCAAATAAGAAAATTAATTCGAATAAGAAAATTGATTCGAATAAGGAAATTAATTCGAATAAAAAATTAATTCGAATAAGGAAATTAATATTAATATTAATATTAATTTGAATAAAGCAAATAATTCGAAAAAATTAATTCGGATAAAACAAATAATTAAGGTCCAGTTTAAATTCAAGCTCACTGGAAAGATTGCTATTTATTAAAAGAAACATGAATCTTGTTTCAGTCTTTCCTTATTAGTTTCATTTTTAATTTCAATTTTTATAATAATAAAATCAATATTAAACATATAGTTTGAATATTTAAGTAATTGAACAACCCATGATTCCAAATAATCTAATAAATGAATGAACAAACCCAATATTCCGATAATGAATAAAGCAAATAAAACAAATAATTTGAATAAAGCGAATTAAATTTTAATTCGAATAAACTTTTTAATTCGAATTAAAGGTCAACTGTATTACGAATAGAAACCCTACTGTTGCTGTGCCAAATGACCAATTTTTCAAAATGGTATTTGCTAACACAAATAAAAGGTTGAAAATTTGTAGAGTGGGAAAACTCTATTGTATGCCAAATTAAGCAACTAATCATGTTAACATGAGCCTTGGTTTTTTATGACAATTTCAGAGCATATTTACTTGTTCTTCATTATTGTCAGCAACCACCCAACTTTTACATCACCATTCTCTTGCTAACATTTTCCCGTTCATAGCTCCAGGAAAAGGACACTATCTCAACCACAAAGTAAATCATCTAAATCCATCCTTCCTCCTAAAGAACAACCATCATGAATAAAAGGAAAGAATGCACCCATCTTATGCATGTTGTCATTAATTTGGCTTTGACTCAATTCCCAAAATCTCAAATTTAATTGTGTCATTGAGTCGAAACAAGAATAGCTTCTATTAATAATGATGTACAACAACAAAATATTCATCCATTTCAAAAGTAGCTTCTACTAATAATGACAAATGACAACAACAACAAATATTCCAATTTGTCTTCATCAAAAATTCATCTGAACCAGTCACTTCTTGAAAACAATGCCCCTTCAATCCTTTCACAAGTTGACATACAACTTTGAACACCCTTAATGGTTCACTTAAGCCTGGCACACAGCCAGCAATAATTAAACCTGGCAAAATAATTTGTTCAATTCTGGCACACAGCCAACAATAATTAACCCTGGTGCACAGCCAATAATAATTAACCCTGGTGCACAGCCAATAATAATTAACCCTGGTGCACAGCCAATAATAACTAACTATATCACATAGCCAATAATTCACTTAAACTTGGCACACAGCCAGAAACAATTAAACCTGGCACACAGCCAATAATTCACTTAAACCTGGAATGCAGCCAACAATAATTAAACCTGAAACACAGCCAGCAATAATTATAGCCATCAATAACCTCTCGTTTCACTTTACCCTCTTCTCAAAAACTTACGTACCTATCATACTAACCATTAACACCAGCCAATTTATGCTAGACATTGAAAACACTTCACACACTCAATATCCGATAAGAGTCTTTCCTGGCCAGTGAGATTTAGCAATATAACTGATCATCCATTATATGTATGGCGCTCCACTTGTTAACGCAGAAGAAAACAAATCTATAAAATGCGTGATAAAGGAATTATCACCAATTCCACTAAATTTTGATCTCTGTGACTTTGGGGAAGGCATTAATGTATATATAATTGTATTCGAATATTGCAAAATAATTTTGCAAAGCTTAAATTTTCCAAGTTCATTACATTTATTACAGACATTATTTTTTATTGATATGAAAAATAAAGAAATTTTTTATATATTTTTTTCTTTATAATCTTTTTCATTATTTGTAAACAGTTTACGAGTTTTTTCTTTACTGGGTGTAGTGGTGGTGGTAGTAGCAATACCACCACCAATACTAATCAATTTTCTACAATATCTCGAAAGTCCCAACCAGAACAACATATTCGTTAACAAAATTGTCAAATGTCCACAGAAATAAACCGATTTCCAAGCATAAAGAGAACCTTCTAATGACAATATATTGAACGGTAAAACCAAATAATTTATCATAATTTGTGTAGATAGCCAACCCAAAAAATCATAGATGTGTTTATATGATTTAAATTTGGGCGTTAGAAATATTGGGCGTATATGACGACGAATTGCTAAAGATAAAAATATTAATAATATTAATAAATTTTTCACGCATCAACAAAATCACGCGAAACAGTTACATACATCGATGGAGGCTTTGAATAAATGCTCCACTGGCAAATGTCACTAAAAATATAAAAATTCTAATTGATTAATTACTATTAAAAAAAAAACCAGAAATATTATTAATAATAAAAATACGGTGGAAAAGAAAGAAGCTTGATTACATACGATAATAACCGGGATAAAATCCATGCCAAACAGCACTAGTGCCAAAGGTAGCAAAAGTAGAAAGGAAAGTCGGCTTTTGCCCGGGAGGCGTTATCCTCAAATAAACATAATTCTTTAACCATTTATTTGTATTCATATTCCAAGCTTCTAATAAGTGTTTAGGATTATCAGCAGTTTCATAAGCTATCACATTAATGTTTGAAACACGATCCCTATACATTAATTATATATTAACCAAAGTATATTATAACGATGATGATAAAAATTATAATAAAAATTATTTGTTTAGCAATACCATTTTGCATTTCCCTTTCCATCATAACCATTAAATCCGATGCCACTAAGAACACATGAACCTTCTGCTAGCAACCATACAATATAATATTTAAATCTTGCACAAAAAGCAGATATTTGTATGAATAATAATCTATTAAAAATATTTTAAAAAGTGTTATTATCATCATCGTTAATAATTATAGATAGATGGATAAAAAAAATATACCTATTAAATAATGATTTTGATCGATATTCTTTAGTTAAAATCCAATCTGTATCGTATTTTTTACCCAATAAATAAGTACAAACAACCCAAAATAATCCAAACAGTAATTTACCCATTGAAGGTACAAATCCATTTGGTACATAATACTTCTTTGTGTTGTTTTTTGCTTTTTTAATTTGATTAATTTTAATTTTACGAAATCTTATTAAAGAAAAATAAATTAAATTAATTAGCGAATACCTTTATTGTCGTTATTATTATCAATTCTAAACATTTCCATATTTGTAAATTGCCTATAATCCATAAATTCAAATGCGGGGCCAACCATAAATCCACCAAAAAAAAATACAAATCCAAGATATTCAAGAATTGAAGGCATTTTAGTAACAGATTTAAGTTTTTGATATGATGTTAATTCCTAAATATATATATATATATATATATATATATATTATGAATAAAATATGTGATCTTATTAAAAAAAGATTTTATGATTAATACGTACATGAGCTGGCCTTCTTCCATCATAAACATTAAATGCGAATGAAGTAAGTTTAATAATTAGGACCATTTGTGGTCCCGTTGTATCATATTGATCATACGTTAGACTGTTAACTTGTCGATAAATATGGCTAAATGGAAATATACAAACAAAGATAAATTCGAATCTGATATTTTATCTAGATAGAATAAAAAATCATTGGTTTTTGGCCTTCTTTTTCAACTTACTTAATACTCAAGTGCAATAATACCAAAGCTACCACGAGCCTATGTCCCCAGACATTTTTAACATAATATAATATGAAATAAGATATCATGCTGATAGCCAGTAATTCGTAAAATGCTTTGGATAAATCAAAAAGCACAAAACACACCAAAATGGACATCATAATAGAATATAAATGTTTAACATTTGGTTTATCGTGTGGTATGGTTTTATAAAATAAAGCAGCCGGGTAATTTGCTAATAAATTGATAATCAATCGAAGGTAATCAAGTGGAACGCCTCCTGTAAGCGCTGACAAGTTATTTAAAAATGGTAATAGGATTGTCGACATTGTTAATTAATTGATTTTTTATTTTAATTTAAAAAAAGGCTTTCTTGATAGAAGAAAAATAGACAAACACCCTTAAAACATTTGAAAATAATTTTCCAGATTTCTCGTATATTCTTTTATCTAAAAATTTAATCATAGTTTCGAAACTTTTTTGTGTAATTTATTTCTTACTATATTTGTAGAAAATATCAAATTTTTTATTTTGATCTACCCCAACAAATTTTAAAAAAACTCTTTTTAATACATGTGAAAATCAAGACAAAGGTTGGGGGAAAAAAAAAATAGCCTTGACAAAATTTTTGTTTATGAAATGCTTTTTGACATTAGTTTTTGCACCTATTGTGGTAATGATATTTGTACAAGTTTAATCATTTAAAATTAAGTGAAGAAAATCCATCAGTAAAAAAAATCCTTCCACACATATATGTAAAGAATACAAATTTCGTTTTTTTAATAATAAAATATATACTATTTAAATCATTTCAAAAATCAAAGAAGAATCGAATATTTTTATATAATAAACTTTGATTTCAAACCTATATTTTTTTGTTATTATTTTTGAATTTCTTGCTTCACACCGTTTTCTAATACCATCATATTATTCAAAGTGTTTGAATTGCCAGAGTCGTTTTTATCCTGATGATTATTGCTATTATTATTTTTATTTTGTTGTTGTTGTTGTTTGTTACTATTATCTTCTACTACTTGTTGAATATCATCTTGTTTTTGTTGTAGTGGTGGCTGTGATTGTTGACCGTCATCTTGTTGTGGTTGCTGCTCTGCTTTATTTTTTTGTTCTAATTCTGCAATTTCAGTTGCTGTAAGGAATCTACCACCAGGACCACGAGGACGTCTCATAGCATGTTTATGTCGAGATTCATGAAGATATTTCTATCAATATAATCAAGCAACAATATCATTATCGAACAATATATTAATACAAGTATAATAATATTGCTGATGATAATGCTAATAGTAGTAGTAATAATAATAATAATAATAATCATAATAATAATAATAGACAACCTTTCGTCCCCTTTGTATCTTATTTTCAGCTTCTAATCTTGCTCTAGCTGCTCTTCTTTTTAAAATTCTATGATACTAACAATCAATCAATTCGTTGATTAATTAATAAAGCTTAGTAATTTATTATAGGTTAAATAATTTTTATATTTACTTGTTTAGCATTCACATATAGTGGTTCCTCTTGTTCCTCTATTCCTGTCGATGGCGCAATTTGTGTAGTTGGAGTACTAATAACTGTAAATGGTGAGGTGCCATGATTCATAAGCTAGATAAAGTAGTAGTATATTTTTTTAATAAATTTATTATTAATAAATTTTACTCCAATCCAAGATCATTAATTTACCAGACTGTAAGGTTGATCATAAGTAACAGAGTTGAAAGTGGTGGGAGTTGCTTTCGATGGATCGGTTTGAAGACCCTTATTATTATCATCGTCATCATCCATATGGGCGGATTTGTCTTTTTTTAATAATGTGATAAATTTGAAATCATATATAATGATTTAGTTTACTCTTGAGATTTTTAAAGATAAATAAAGGCTTTAACATTATTATTGTTATTATTATTATTTTAAATAATTAAAGAAATGTAAAGAAGGTTCGTCGTGTAAAAAAAAAAAATAAAAACAAGATTTAGTAAAAGTATTTGACGACATTTTAGCTTTAAGATAAACGAAAAGTTACAAGTGGAGATGAGATAGTGAGATAACTTTTAGTTTTTGATTTTACCTGTTTGTGTTGGTATTGGTGGTTTCTAGTCCAATAAGAAAATGAGAAGTTTAAAACAAATGGATTATTGATTGGTGCGAGAAATATGAGAATATGTTGATTATTTAGTGATTTGGTGTAACGGTAAGGAATTTATTGGACATTTTTAGCTTAACCCACCTGGTTTAATAGATATGTAGTGGTTATGTACTAGCCCCGATTTAAAGGGTTTTATTCACCAAGTTATTGTTCAAATGGAATTAAAGTGACCACCCCAACATTTCTTCTATCAGGGAGATAGAGTACATGTTCAAGAGAACTGGGTCAAACTTTGGGTAATAGAATGTACTTTTTCAATTAATCATCATGTCTGGCAGAATTTCACTTTAGTGGTATACTTGGTGATACCCCTTTACTGCGTATTTACATGTTTAATGGCAATTTACCATGAATTTGCAATTATCATTAACCCAGACCTAGCTAGAATTTCTCAACATGCTTCCAGGACAAGATTCTACTGAAAATACACTGTGTTCAGGGCATTGACTTTTTTCTAAAGGGCCCACATTATTTATACATGAAAATAAAATAAAATCAATTTTTTCACCTTGTTATTTCTTCAAAATACTTTTAATTGTACTACCATGGTGATGGATCCGATATAAATGAGTTTCATATCTCTATTTTCATTTATAAGATTAGCTCTAAATACTATAATCAAGGATCTTTCCAAAATAGTAATTTTTTTGTGATTGAATTTTTGGAATAAAAACCTATGTAAAGTCATGCTTTATTACAATTTTCAAAATCAATTAAAGTCATTCATTGTAAATTTTTCAAAAAATTGAATAATAATAATACAATATATAATACATATGTATATAGTGATAATAATAACATAAATTAAATAAGTTAAATATCTCAGGTCCTACGATTACGATTAACACCAACATTAGTATTAACAACATTATCAACATAATCATTTTCATCATCAGTATCATCATCAAATTCAGCAGTTAATTCACAAAGATGATGTATACTTCTAAATGGTACTATTAAATCCAAGTAGGTTTGCATACTGGCAGCCATATAATCACCCTTACTCATTGTTTTCAACATATACCAATTATCCAATATAAAGAAGAGTGATAATAAAGTTGAGAAAATAACTGCTGGTATAGCATCCCAAAATGTAAAAAACCATGGATGTAAAACCAATGTAGTTATTGTGATCACTATTAATACCATTATACTATAATTATAATTAGGATGACAGATGATAATAATAAAAAAAAATATTATTATTATTATTATTATTTTTACACACACAAATATATAATACAAATATTATATATAACTTACATTGTTGCTTTACTTTTAAATCTATAAGTGTATTGATTTGTATATCCAATTATAAATATTGCAACTACCAATAATATGATTAAAGTGTCAAGTACACAGAATAATCTCAACAATGTTGCTAAATTAAATAAGAATTAGATATTTATAATCAATCAATCAATCAATTTTTAATTAATCAATCTATTATTAAATACTTACTAGGTGCAGCAATAATAACAGCATTAAGTAGAGTGTATAAAACAACTAAATACCAAGGTGGTTGAAAACTATCATTTGATTTCCATGTAATTCCAACCAACAAAATAAGTGATAAAACTGGGAGTATTGGATAACACCAATCACTAAAGAATAATGTATAATCATTGTTATATATTGATCAATCAACAAATAAACAAATAAATAAATCATAATAACAATATTAAACTTACAATCTTTGAATAAAATGTCTCCAATGATACTGATATAATAATAAACCTGTAAATGCTATAGTGACTATAAGTTGCAATGCAAAGATTATACAAACTTTACGAACAAATGCTATGGAAAACATATAAATTGTCCATTTAAAAATATATTACAATGATAATAATAATAATATTTATATAAAAAATAATTATTAGTCACCCATTTGAGATTTAACATTCAATAAAATAACAGGAACACCAAAGGGATACAAAGGGCTATTCTCGTTAATTCCTTCCTCATCCTCCATGTTAACGATAGTATCACCTGTTTCGGAAAAGGCTTGATAAGGCATTGTTACCTATTGCGAATAGTTTATAAGTTTTATTTTTATTCCTTACAAAAGATCTCTACAAGAGATTGATCGATAAATCTTTTTAATCTTAATTACACCAAGTAAATTAACACACATTATGTGACACATGACCAAATAAATAAAAACAACAGGGCGATTATTACCTGTTTGTTTTAGTATTTGGGAAAATTAAATGTAAATTTTTGAAACTTGATATAATGATAAATATATATTACACTCACCTAACATAAATATCCGACCACCTGTGCTGTGTAATGTCAAATGAAAAAAGTACTTACTAAATAAAGTACGTTTTCTTAAATAAAACCTTTTCTGCTATACTAAGTAAACTCATATTTGATATCAAAACTCTATATTACGAAAATTTCGAACAGTTCAGTATGGTATTGATGGAAATATTTAGCAAATCATCCAAAAAAGCAAATTTCCGATTGAATTTTTACATAGAACTACCTTTGGGTATTTCAACTTTCATGTAATAAAGGGTCAAATTTTTTTGTTGTAATGTTTATTATTACCTTAATAAAACGTGCTTAACGTAACAGATTACATATATTTACAATACGGTGTCAGCATAAATTAGTTTGTGAAAAGGGTTTAAAAAGGTATCCGACCACCCCATAATTTTATCATATAAAGCACTTAATAAAGTTGACGAAATGCAAATTTTAAGGCTTTACGTTTTGTTGTCTATACTTGATCAAATTTTCTCGAATTTTAACCATATGTAATTCAAGGTATTTTAAGTGGACTTACTTAATGACATAATCCATAAACCAACAGAGTTTTGAACCTTTTTACTAAGCTCAAAGTTTTCATAAAAATCACGAAATTTTTTGCCTAATTTAAAATTTTCATCCTAAATTCATTAATAATGCAAACTCGACGAAACTTTAAGTTTATATTCAAATTGACTTTAAAAACATGTTTACTTAATGCACCAGTCCCAGTTTGATTAATAAAATTTTGAACTGCGTGAGGTATAAGTTCCCCAATTATTAAAATGGTCGGATATTTATGGTAGGTGAGTGTACATGTTCAACATGATGATCTTTCTTAAAACGGATTTAATATATAATCTAATAAATCTCTACGAAAATTTTAAAATCTATCTAGTCCACCAATTCTTCTCCTACAGTTATAAAATTAGTACCAAATAAAAGCTTGAAACTTACACTTTCACTTAATGGCTGTAAATTTTTAAATTTTTATTAAAAAAATTTTTATTTTTGTTTTTTTTTGCATATAACTTTTTTTATAAACAAAAAATTAAAAAAATAAAGCCATTATGTTGAATTATTCGTTATTTAGTACCTATATACTAATTTTTAATGGAGGTCGATTTGATAAATAGGGAGGAGATAGAGTTTGAATTTTGTTTATTTTTTATATTGATCGGCAAAAAAAATCCGCATATATGATTTTTTATGTGTGCTCAACTATGTTTGTGTTTATGCTGATGTAACACCCCAATACCATACGTTCTGCAAAAGTTATACCATATTGAATTTCTCCCTACCGATAATAATTCTATTGACGTGAACAACCAAAATCAACAGAGTTCTGTAAATATATATTTTTTTACATCTTCATCACTCCAACTAGAACATAGACGAAGTTCAAATTCATTTGGTCTTTTGTCCCTTGATGTTGTGATCATTACTATTTTCTGATGGCGTTGATGATATTTGAAAATAAATTAGCAAAGTTTTTTGTTGTTTACTTTTACAGCCACTTGTTTATCTAAATGTCCTTCACTATAATCTCTTTATACAGCTTGATTTGGACACTCGCCGCGCAGCATCTATTAATTTTAATTCATGCATATATTACTCTGATACTAGTTTATTGTTGTTCTAACAAAGTTAACAAAAAAAAAATTACTCAAGATTTGAAAACCATTTTTGTTATTATTAAATTATTTATTAAATCTTTTATTTGAACTTCGTGTATCAGATCAGGTTTATTATTATTATTACTAAAATGTTATTGCAAATGTTTTAAATGAAGCTACAGGACTGGGAAACTTAATAGAAAATAAAAAATGGGAAAAGATACAAGAAAAAATTGACTTATTACGCAAATATAGTACCTGGTGCTATAAATAATAACACAATTAATTTTGCGGTGAACCGATATGATATGTATCACCCAGCTTACTAATATTAATATGTCGTACTATTACATTTACTAATAAATTTTATAATAAAAAGCTTCGTTATTGATAGAAATAATTAAATCAAATTTTTCAAATAAAATAAAAGGTTTTTTAAAAGATATCAAGTAAAATTAAAAATGTCATTTAATAAATTCTCACCTGAAAGGAGGGAATTTGTAGCTAAAAATTATAGAGAAATGTCTAATAATGCTGCTTTAGAAAATACATGTAATAAAGGTAGAAAAGATTATTTTTTTTCTTTAGTTAAAAAAAACAATGGACTTTTAAAAAACGAAAAAGAATATTGTGAAAAAAAATACATTTATGATTTAGAATTAAATAATGCAGCTTGTAAGCTGGGAGAACCAAAAAAATGCAACAAATGTAAATCAACAAAATACTCTGATAGATTCTGTGAAGGTTGTATTAGTTTACAACTACAAAGTCTTTTCACAACTTGGACATCTGGTAATGACATAGTTGATAATTTTATTCAACTATGTCAAAAAATTTCATCTTTGCCTGAATATATTTTAGAATGGATACCTTATGATCATTTTCAAAATGTTGCAGAATTAACTAAAGGTGGATTTAGTTCAATTTATACTGCTACATGGACAAGGGGAAATATAATTGATTATGATGAAGATAAAAAGGAGTTTAGTTATTATGGAGCTTTTGGTGTAGTATTAAAAAGTTTAAATAATTCAAGTAATCCAACAAAAGCATTTTTTAATGAGGTAATTGATTTTATTTTATTTGTATATAGCAAAATAAATGGCACTATATTATATTTATAGTATTAATTGATTTATGTTTATTTTCAGGCAACTAATTATTGTAAAATTAAATCAGGAATGATTATTCCTTGTTTTGGTATAACTAAATTCCCACTTAATGGAAATTATGCAATGGTTCTTACTTATGTGCTAGAAGGAAATTTAAGAGATTATTTACAAAAAAATCATTCAAAATTAACATTAAAAAATAGAATCACAATCTTTAGATATTTATGTGAATCATTACATTGTATACATGAAAAAAATTTAATACATTGTGATCTACATAGTGGCAATATATTATTCCAAGGAGGTGGTTGCTATATTACAGATCTAGGGTTATGTGGACCAGTTGATGGGAAATCATCAAATAAAATCTGTGGGATTGTACCATATATGGCACCTGAACTATTTAGAGGAAATAAATACAGCAAAGAATCAGATATTTATAGCATTGGAATGTTAATGTGGGAAATATTTGCAGGCCATCCACCATTTGATGATAGACACCATGATTGTTTGATTTTGAACATATGTGCAGGTTTACGACCACCAATATTACCAGGAATGCCTGATGATTATGTGCAAATGATGCAGAAGTGTTGGGATGAAGATCTATCTAAAAGACCAACTTCTAAAGAGCTTCGGAAATTTGCTCATAATAAATTAGGAGAAATTTATAAAAATGAAAGTTTGAATAATAATAATAATAATAATAGTAATGTTAGTTGTGATAATGGTAGTAATTCACACAAACCACATCCATATGCATATCATACAAGCAGAATATTAAATGATGAAATTATTAAATCACAAAGCTCAGAATTTTGTGATAGTTTATTCATTAAACTTGATATAAATTTTTGTGCTGTTTTTAAAGGTAAAAAAGGTTCATTACTAATTAATTGAAAATTACTATCCATAAATTTTACTAACAGTATTTTTGATTTCAATTTAATTAATTTTAGATTCTAGTAGCAATTGTAAAGGAAAAGGAAAAGATGCTGAAAGAATCGATGAGACGACAGATTATCAATGGATGACTATAACAAATTTATTCAATATATTAATTTTACCTTTTATTATACCCTTACGTTTTTTCTTTTCGTTTATTTCATTTCTTAAAGCTAAACTTTTGAATAATAAATTTCTTTACTATTTCTAATTCTTAGTAGTAAAGTATTTTGATGGATGTTCTTATCAGACGTTTCTCTTTCCTTTGTTTTTATTGTTAAAGTTACATCTGTAGTGTGGTGCGAAAATTATTTATTAATAGATCCAATTCATCAATGTCATAATATTAATATACCGCAAGAACTTTTTTTCGTAACTCTATTCCGAAAGCATCAAATACAAACTGGTTAAAATTATGCCCGCATGGAACCAAGAATTATAGTACAATCAA